CCTTATTTTCAAATTTTATTATCTATAATTATTTTTTTAATATTTTTGCATTTTAAAAAAGTAAATCAAAGCTAAATAAATGCAAAATGCAGGCAAATTTGTCTGCGTTAGTCTACAATCTAAGGGATAAATCTTCTCAAAATCAAAATAGTACTAAAAGCATTAACATACTGGAGAGAATTACTCAACTAGACAATTATAATAAAATCAGACTCTATGATCATAGTAGCATATATTTATCATCAGAGAGGCACAACATCTTTGAAGATAAGTCAAATAGCAGAACAAATTTAGCATTTGTGTATAGCTCAAAATCTTAGAATTCAGGTCTAACATATTCCTAGAAGAATAAATAAACTAGCAGATACATATCATAAATAGTAAATCTACAATTAGAATAGACTTTATTAAGACCGATATTCAATATACTACAACAGATTTGAGGATATCAGAACATTGATCTGTTTGCAACTAGCAAGAACATATGGACAAAGAGATTTTTTAGTTGGAAATTTAATCTCCAGGCATTAGCAACTGATGCATTTACCTAATTTTAGAAAGGATGAAGAGTATTTGTGAATCTACTATGGATTCTACTACCCAAAGTCTTAGACAAAATCCTGTGAGAGAAGATCACAGTAATAATAATTTTCCTACTATAGTACTTAGCTTCCTAGTTCCTAATATTAATAGATTATCTAATAGATATACTGGTGATATTACTTTACAAAGCAATTTATCACAACGGGATCATACTGCTCAGAAATCACAAATGGAAGATCTGCACAGCACTTATATCAGGAGACAACTCAAAGATAAAGAGTTTTCAGACAGAGCTGCAGAATTATATATCTCATTATATGATCTAAAGGCATCAAAAATAGTATCAGCATATATGTGAAAATAGTTCAATTAGTATATATCAGGAAATCATGATTCTTTTAGGTGCTCTTTGCAAATAATAGTGAATTTTCTAGATAATTTATACAACTAAAATATGCAATATAATACTATAGCAAGTTATAGGTCAGCAATTAGTGAGGTACATAAACCTGTTGAAGAAAAAGCTATCAGTACATATCCTATTATTGTTAAAGTAATGAAAGGACTTTATAATTTAAGATCATCTAAACAAAAGCCTACGAATATAATAGATGTATTACCTACAATAGACTATATTCAATCACTTGGCTCTAATTCAGAAATGCCAATACTTAATCTTACTTAGAAAACTGTATTACTATTAGCTTTAACATCAGGAAGTCGACTATTAGATTTATAATACATTGACCTCATCTCTGTATTTCAATTACAGAATAGTATTTCAGTTAGCATTCAGAATTTCAAAGAATCAAAAATTTCCAGAACACATGAGAGTTCAAAGGAATAATATAAAACTCTAATTATTGGGTCATACCTAGAGGATAAAACTTTTTGCATATTATTAGCATTTAATATATACAGATTATGGATATCAGAATGACGTACTTTATATGAAACACAAAAATCTCTATTCCTCACTACAACTATTCTCCATAGACCAGCCTTAACAGACTCAATTGTATGATGGATTAAGTCTTGTTTGACTAAATTATCAGAGGATTTAATAGCTAGAGATGCACAAGTAATCTTAGCTTTTCTAGCTTAAAACAGCAGAGCTAATTTAGCTACGATTATAGTATTAGAAAATTAGTCAAGTAATATAGTGTATCAAAAGTTTTATTAGAGAAGTATTATTTTACTGTTACAAAAAAACAATATATCACAAAAAATAATAGATGAAGTATTATCTACTCTACAGTAACACATGATCTACATTGCTATTATGATATGAAATATATTTAAATAAATATATAAGTTTATAAATATATTTATAAATATATGAGTAGAATAATAGTATTGTAGATTATTGGGACTCACCATACTACACCTTTTATACATAGATATAATAATAATAAGTTTAATAAGATGTATATAGTAACCTTGAAATCATAGCCTAGATTAGAAAAATAGATCTTAGAATACCTTTATATAAGTAAAACAATAGTGTAATTATGCATACTCTAAAATTTGGATGCTAACAAATAAAAGATGACTAATTGGTATATGATCCATAATGCTATTATTCTACTCATATATCTATAAATGTATTTTATAAACTCATACATTTATTTAAATCTTAGAGCAGAGTTAACTTTTGAAGAAGGAGATAGCTTTATTTAAAGTATAGAAGCTTAAGTTATTCTACTTATAAGCAATTTGCTAGTACATATAGCTTCAGGCCTAAGTAGAAAAGAGATACTGACAATATTACGATACAATTTAGTAACTCTTTCCAAAGATCACTTGTACCAAAACTTCTTGCAAACATTTTATTATTACTCAAAATTCTATTAAGTAAACTACTCTTGGGCTACTAAGTAAATTTGTTCACAACAAAGTTTTACTTCAGAATAGCCTAGTTTTATCTCTTCTGAACCTCTTTTGGTTGAGATATTAAATATTCTTTATTTTTTCAGTTTTCTCAAAATATCTTAAAATTTTACTAAGTAAACAACTTCTGGACTTCTTAGTAAAGTTGTCAGGCATAAAATTTTACCCCTAGTAGTTCAGTTTTACATATCCCGAATCAAATTTTACAAAGATATTATTTATTTTTGTTTACTTATATTTTCTTAAATATTTCAAAATATTACTAATATAACAACTCTTGTTTATTAAAAGAGTTAGATTCTCTAAAGTTAGGGCTTCCTTTTGATATAAATTTTATCAAAAACGGAGCAAACCTCACTAAATTATCATTGAAAACCTGTTTAAAGGCTCTTTAATTACTCATAGATCACTTAGAATTTATCCATGGCAATTTCGAAAAATTTACTGGCTTGCTTCAGATTTTTCACTTTTTTTTTTAATCTTAAAAGAGTTCAGATCACAGGACTTTGCTCACAAGATCTAGATATTTTACTGGTCTTTAGGAAATTTCACTAAATCTTTAATTAAACTCTTATTTTCTATACCAATTTTAGTCTGTTTCAAATAGTTTCTTTTACAAATTATCTTCCTTATCCTTTAACATCTTTTAACTACAAAAGATATCTACTTTAACTACAACAGAACCTGATTCTTATAGTTTGATTATTATTATAATAGATATAAAAATCGATATACTCTCAGTAGGAATGAAACAAACCAAAATCTTTCTGAATTCTGTATGAAAATGTTAAGTCAACAGAATATAATGCTAGTGACAAAAAGAAAATGCATTACTTTATTATTCCCAAACAACCAATTTATATGACTTGTTTATGTAAAAAATACTACACAAACTTCATATTGCAGTTCTATAAAATTAGAACTACTATACTTGGTGCTCCTTCTTCTTCTTCCTCAATAGACATCTCTTCAACTATTTTGAACAAATATTTTAACATGATTACTGATGAGCTTCTTGCATCTTCTATTACCAAACTCCAACTTTCACAACTTTTCAACTCACCTCAAGCTCCGAGCTTTAATACTAATAAAGCTCCTATCTCTATTATAGCTCATACTCATCATACATATACATGTGTAATTTATAAAATCAAAGACTTATTTTGTATTGACACTAAAAACAAAGGTCATTCACCAGATTACACTATTGCTATTTTACTCAAAAACTGTTATTTAATTTATCATAGCTGCATACACAAACTTACTACTATTCTAACCAAAGCTCTTCCTCAAACTCAAGCACTTAACAAGAACCAAAAAAAAGTAGTACTTTTAGCTGCTATTGCAATAACTCCTGCAAAAGAAAAAATTAGACGTTTCAAGGCTCTTAAACAATATACAAAAGCAGAAGTTAAACAAATTCTTAAACAAAATAAACAACCAAACAAACAACAAAATAATTCCAAAGGTAATCAACAACAAAAACAACAAAAACAACAACAATAAGATCAACAAAATAACTAACAACATAAATTAAAAGAAGAAGAAAAAGAGAAACCTTCTTTTGATTTCTTTAAAAATTTTCTAATTACCATAGAAATGAAACCTCATATATACTTTAATACTCTACTTGCAAAAAATATTTTTAATTTTGTTAAATCTGATTTTATTAATTTTAGACCAGGTCAAATTCTCAAAAAAGCCAAAGATAAACAACCAGAACTCAGAACTAATTTTGAGTATTTGATTAAAACTATGGCTAGCAAATGCTCTAGTTTTTTAACAGAATTAATTTACAAATTTAATCTACAAACTTATCAAAATACAACAATCCCTTTCAAACCTTTATACACTAATTTCAAATTAATTTTAACCAAATTTACAACTACTCTTTTTACTAAACTCAATTATGCAAAGGTTCTTTCTCTTATTGAATCTATCCCTTCAAGTACTCTGCAAAACCATAACCAAGTTATATTAAATCTTGCTCGACTTCATCTATATCTAACTCAAAACTTCCAATGAATTGACTATGAAAAATTTGCAAAAGATCTAAGCATTAGTCCTTGCAAATTCAAGCTTATCTATTACAAAAATGAATATAAAAGTGCAACTCATAAAGTATCTCTTCTAACTATTAATAATAACAAACAGTTCAATGTTTATGTTCATTTTAATATTCTTACACTTCAATTTCTAAATAACTTTCAGATTCCTTCACTTAAGGAGTGTAAGCCTCAATTCGATGAGTGGTATGAAAATTTCTTCAAAATCTACAGTCGCCAATTCTTTTAAATTAACAAAGAAAAACCTACAACTACCTAAAATACTAAATTGCATAACAATTTGCAAAATGTTGCAAAGAATTACTACCTAATCAGTACAATATTAGAGAAGTTCTTTCTTTACAAAATCGAATTCGCAAGACTAGAAAACTAGCACTATATCATATTCACAAATATGATCATACTCTACAAAACCTCTGCAAGTTACTTGCTTCTGAAATTGAGCATAAATTTAAATTTATAAATGAATACTATTTCAAAGAATCCTTTAAACACTTTTCTCTAACAAAATAGATTAATATACC